AATGCATATAATGAGTCAAATGAGCAAGTGAATAGAATAAAAGAAATTCATAATTTTTGACGCATTTGCAGTTGATTCGAATTAAGTGTAATGTGTGATTCGAATCATAGGCCACGGGATTCTAATCATGTGTAATATTTGATTTGAATCAATTTCTCTAGAGACTTTTGAAAAACCAAAAAAAGTTGCATGATTCAAATCACGTGCAAAGAATGATTCAAATCATTAGCTCCAAAAACTTTAGAAAAAACAGAAATTTCGCATGATTCGAATCATGTGTAAACCATGATTCGAATCAAATGATTTTTAAAATTTTTTGGAAGTTTTTGTTCGATTTGATTCAAATCAAATCTCATGTGTAAATGAATTATTCGAATCAAATAGAACAAAATCTGACTTTTCTAATTTTTAAAGATTTTTTTTGCCTGTAATTTGAAAATAGCGTGTAAGACTTTTATTCCACAAGCTCATACACTTGACTAATAACATTTTGATCAAGTTCGAACATAACCAAAAGGTTTATGTATGCTAAAAGATATATGAATCATGTGTGATCAATATATGCAGGAGACTCAATAAAGATGAAATATGAAAGTGATAGGACATGCAATCAAAACATAACCCTATCAGAATTTCCCCCTGCATATGATAAGGATGTGCAGCAACAAATTCCAATATGAATATGCAGCTACAACAACTTATTTAAAAGACTAAGTTTTATTTCCATATATCAAAATATGTTTAATATGCTCATAAGAAGATGAGAAGCCATATGAGTCTCAAAGTTTTATCTTCGTTATCAATCTTGACTATGATAGTTTCTAATTTAGAAACAATATCATTGAGAACACTTACATGATCATATACTTTTTATTTTCATCTATACACGAGCTATAAAATTGTCCATTCAACAACAATCGATTTGAAATACCCTTTCCTTGATATAACCCTTCAAGTTTCTGCCATAACTCTTTGGTTGACGATGTAGTAAGAACATTCGTAAGAATATTATTAGTCAAAGACATATGGATTGTAATCAAAGCTCTTTAAATCTAGTTCGTCCTATTTCTTGGTGTCTATGTTAGAAATTTTTCCTTTTAATATCTTGTGTAATTTTAATTGTATAAAAATATTTTTGACTTGTATCTTCCACAAGACAAAATTGATTATTGCATCGAATTTCTCTAAGTCAAGCTTCAATGCACTTGAAAAAATTGATAATGCAACCAAAATCTTTTTGCAGCAAAACTTTTTCCCAACCAATATATTAGAAAATTTATACTCCACCAAACCCAACCAAGACTCTAATACCACAAGGGCATGCGAAGGCAACAACGATACCAATATTCTAAGATCAAAAGAGAGGAAGATATCCGAATTCCACCAAAAATCATAAAGAATTAGATATACGAGTCATTTGTCTTATAAATCCAACATCACTTTTCAACATAGTAATAATTGCTATTTTTCAATTGCGTCATTTAATTATTATTATGTACACTACTTTTAATATATTATTTGTTGGTGTAACAATTGAGGGAGGAGCATTTTTATTTTCGAGATTTTTCCATTTGAGCAATACACTTTTTTGAGACACACCACTTGTCCATCTAAAATTGTAAGATGATAGCTGAGTGAGTTCTCTCAGTTATAAATATTCAAGTCATCACATTCATATCTAATGTTGAACTATTTCTCACATTTATTATATTAATATTATTAAGGTTAATTTAGTAAAAATGTTATCTCTTATAACCATGTTATTGCTTTTTTTAATTTGGTGAAACAATTTTAAACAAGAGTCATACATGTCAATGTCTTTACATATAAGGGTATATTGTATGGCCATGTGTCAATTAGGGGTTTACCACATATTTGGCATGTTGAACCACTTGTACCACGTAAATTCCAAAACTCATGTTATTTGTTATCGTCAACAAAAAGACACAACACCAAAGCTGTACAATCTCAAACATCAGTTTTTCTCTCTACATATGACAAATCAACCACCTCTCTTTCCATCAAAACCAACACCACCCCACAACCCATCCAAATGCCATTTGCATCATAGCATGCAAGGCAATTGTTGATGTCCAAAATGGTGGCGGTTGATGAAAAGAAGAAGGGTCAAATGGTTCCACAATATGATGATCAAGGCGTAACTTTGGCATTTCATGGCAGAGAGGTCTATGAGGGTGTTCCTCTTGCACATTTCCCTAAAAAGTCTCCTTTAAACGTCGGTTTCTATACCTTTATGTTTCACAAATATTTGTTATTTTGTTTTTGAATAAACAACAACAATGTCTATATTTTCTTGAATTTTTATTGATATTGATGATTTGTTTGTTGCTATGTTATATAATTTGCAGGATAAACATAACAAGTTCATGAATAGTCCAACAAGACAAGTAAGTTTTGGAAGGGAATTTTTGTGCAATCTAGATGTTTGATTTTATGTTGAGCTTGCAGGACTTGCCTTTCTTGATTTTTTTAATTCGGACGTTGTGTGTGTGATAAAAATAGGGGAAGATCTCCAAGAGTTTTTACAAACAAATATTTTTGTTGCTTGTAATGATTACTATGAATATATAATAGAATCTCTGTAGCACCGACACTTTTGAAAAAAAGTGTGTCTGTATCAGTGTCGGTGTATGACACTGACACGATATCGATATTTGTGATTACGTTCAATTTATTTATTTTTTTCAAATTATTATCAGTGCAGTGTGTGTTATCTGTGTCACTTTATCTAACTGATTGGTTTTGCTCTATTGTAATTTTTTGAAATTATACCACCTTGCATTGAGCCTATGAACTGAATGCCAAATTCTTTTAAAATCAAATTTAAGTGAATGATAATTCTAACAAATGCTATTTTTACAGGCAACACATGATGAGGCACAATCACACAAGTTTGCGAGGTTGGTAAAGCATCAAGTGTCATTTGATAGATAATTACTCATATTTTTAAAGAAATTCATTACTTATGCTAAATTTGGAACATTGTCTTTCATTGCAGCTCATCAAAAGAGACAACAGATGCAACGTTTTCTCGTGGCGAGGCTGTGATTCAAGCCGAAGGACTCCGATCAAGTTTGGAAACGGAGTTCCCAAGTTTTGTGAAGTCCTTGGTCAGATCGCATGTAGCTAGTTGTTTTTGGATGGTAAGCATTTTGAAAAAAACAGTAGTTAATGTATCTTTGAAATTTGAAAACGACAAATCAGAAATTTGATTCTTAAAAAACCGACAATTAAAATGAAACAAAGGGACTTGATTAAAAAAACCAAAATGTTTAGTCATATCTTTTGATTTCTTCTTATAGGGACTACCTGTGGCGTTCTGTAAAAGACATTTACCAGATAAAGATACAACTATAATTTTGGAAGATGAATCTGGTAGAGAATACAAGACAAAATACATTGCATGTAAAACTGGATTGAGTGCTGGTTGGAGACAGTTTTCTGCTGTGCATAAATTGCTAGAGGGTGATGTGGTGGTATTTCAATTAGTTGAACCAACCAAATTTAAGGTAATAGTTTTGGTTTTTATTAACTTCTTTTGATTCAACCGTTCTTTTGTCCGTTTTAATCGAGCTTCTGTACTTACACCATCTATTTATTTTTTCAGGTTTATATAATAAGAGGTATCAGGGAACCAGAGAATCAAGAAAGTTGCTCAAAACAAAAAGTTGGAGGCAAGACTTGTGTCTCTATGGCTCTTACTATGTTGTATCGTTATTTATCGTGAAATAGTTATCGACAATTTATGCATTCTTTTTCTTATTAACATTATTTATTTTTCTCCTTCATGTTCACAGGAAAAAATAACACAGATACTGATGTTGTAGCAAGTAATAGTCCAAAAAGAAAAAGCAGTAAACCTATCCCACAAGACATCCAAAAGAAAAACAAAATTATTGTATCGAAAACGGAGACTAAGGCTAAACAGTATACAGAACAACTATATGAAAATGGTAGTGAGGAAGCTTTGTCCGAAATATTGGAGGCATATAAAATGCCTGAATTCAAAGATTTAAACGGTTTCGAAAATTTCAGAATCATAGTCAATGGGATGCTAATTGACAATGAACTCTCTACCGAAGTTCGAAACAAGTACTACAAACTGTGTTACAGTCAACAAGCTTTTCTTCATGACAATCTCATCAAAGGCTTGAACTATAATTTAATTTCTGGAGTTATATATGAAGTTGTTAACATTGCTGATGCGATAAAAGTCAGTGTGATATCTACGCCGCGTTTTGAGTTTTATAATTGGGATAAGACTTTGCTAGCATTTGAGAATTTGGGCATGAATGTTGAATTTTTGAGACATCGGTTGCGCAGGCTTGTTAGCCTTGCTTATGAGACGGACAACGGCTTAGAGACTAGAAGATACTTGGCGTATAGAACCGAGGAACACGGTCGAGTAGATGATGAAATAAAGAACATGGAAACAAAGCTTGAGGAATTGAAAAAAGCTTGTAATGGATTTGGTGATTATCTTGAGGGTTTGAAGCACAAAGCTGAAAGGTATGAACATAAGTTTCAAAAAGAAGTTGCTGCTAATTGGTGAAAACTTTGTTATATGTGAAAATGTATTGGCTTGTGCTGTGTGGTTAAATGTAAACAATTTCTGCACTGTGTAACTTCAAATTAGACAGAAGAAAATTATTCAATTCATTGAGATGTCTATACCTACGAGTAGCACTAACATTGAGACGTCCAACCTAACAATATTGATTTTTGTCCATTCAACTAGGACTTGTGGCCTAGTGTTTATCATTCTAGTTAAGCATTTCATTTAAATATTTAACTTTGATAGAAGAAGAACCATAGTAACTCACAATTAATAACAAACATTATAACATTAATTCAACCTTGGTATCCGAATTCGCTGAACAACAAAAAATGAAGGAATTAGAAGAAAGAAAAAAAACACCCTTAATCTAATTTCCACCATCAACCCAACAACACTTCATCTACAAATTCAATTACTTGATCTATATTCCGAACTCAAAGTCACTGCAATTTGACCCTCCTTCAATCAAAATCTCCTGTATTATTTATACCCCACAAAAAAATCAATATGTATATAAAATAAGTAAATGAAGCCAAAATAAAAAGACAAGAACCAAATGATTTGAAAATACTAATAAAAAATATAAAAGATTTATAGTATATATCTAACCTGTGAAGAAGTAATGTCAAGCCTTGCACTGTGATTGACCAAACCAGATCTTCTTGATTCAACACTTTCACTCTTTTCAACTTTCTTAGAACCAATGTGACTTTTTCTCAAACCCAAAAACCCTTTCCATCTTGTAGTAGAAGAAGACCCTTTTGGAGGCCTAAGAGAAAAGCCTTGTCTTTCACAAACTTCATCATCATCATCATCATCTACAAGTAGTTCTTCCCTCAGAGTAGTAATCTTCTTGTTACTATCCTTAAAAGGTAACAATCTTCCCTTACAGAAAAGCTCATCAGCACTCATCATTGAGTAGTTTGAAACAGAAAACTCAAAGTCAGTTGAAACTGGTCCATCTGATCTAGTAGTAGTGGTTTTTTCTTGGTTTGAAACTTGTTGTGTGTCTACAAAATCATTTGAGAATGAGATTCTTGGACTCACTGATAAGCTGTGATTATGATATTGATTATGATGATGATGATGATGATGATGATGATGATGATGACCTTTGTGCTCTGAGTTGTACATTTCTAAACATGCCATGAGATTTCAGAACCACAACATGGTAGAAGAAATTATAAGAAAAACAATGTTTGAAAGAAACTGAAACTACAGAGGTTAATAATAATAACTGTTACAACATGTTGGCATTTATATATACAAAGACTATTAAACCAGTATGGTACTGTTATATAGTTAAAAAATTCATATCGCGAGTTCAAACTCGCGCGCGCCTCTGTAGTCTGATGTCTCTGGTAAAAAGTTCAAAATAGTTATAACATAATGTAGTAGAGTAAATAATGAATAGGAAAATATAAATGTTGTGTGAAGTGAAGTAGGAAAGTTATGGAGATGGTAAGTTGAAAAAAAGTTACCATTAATGGTTGAGAAAGCAACAGCAGTGACATTTAAAGGAAAAGGGGTACTGAATTTATAAATGGTTAAATGCATGCTTTGAATGTTTTGAGCTAAGTTTTAAGGCCTCACATAACACAGTGACAACAGTGTTACAGCTTACATGCACAGCTATGTAATTGACCAATCTTTGAATCTTAAAATATTATTTTGGAATGAGCTGGCGATACTGACGGATCAAACTAGCCATGTGACTTGATGTTGTCTTTTAATTTCATAACAAAATACTTAATTCATATTCAAAAAACCATATACTGAAGAAGAGTTTTGTCTATCATACGGGTTCTTCTGTCTCGAGAGATTAATTTTCACAGTTGCGCAATGATATTATTAGTAAAGAATTTGCTAATTTAAGGCATAAAGAGGGTTTAAATTAAAGTTGAAGTGATGCATATTGTTGATATATAGAAAAGGGGGTGTTTGCATTAATTGGCTATAATTAATGATGCATTTGAATTTGCTTCCATGTTTGAAGTCAGTAGCATGTACTGGATAGGAAGGAAAGGGATCACGTGGCTTTGCACAGAATACTTGACTTCTTAAGGTAGACAACTATGGACTTCACCAACTCTAAGAAATGTTTGTATCTTTATTATGTAAAAGTTTCCTTTGGAGGGACTGGTTGGTTTTGTACCCCACCTTCTCTTTTTGCCAATCATAGGGGAGGACACCAATGTGCTATCCACGCTATACTTTATTTTATTTTAATCATATCAGATTGTTTATATGTTACTTTTAATTCCACATTTGCAAATGAAATGTGATTTAGTTAATTCCACTCCATAATTCCAAGTTACACCATTTGTTAAAGTATTAGAAAACTCAAATAGCAAAATATTTTTATTCTTGTCACATATGCGAGGGGAATATCTTGGCTCGTATATGCGAGAATTGAGAAATATAAGTTATGTCTAATTTTGTTTATCTGATTCTAGTTTCTCGGATGTATAATCATATTTTTAAGTGTGATACTATTAAAGAAGTGTGAGTCATTTATGAAGAAATTTAGGAAGTTTTAATTGAGATGAAAAGAGAAAGAATGAAGACATCTTATCAAAATGTTGAGACACCAAGTGAAAATGAAAGAAAAAAATTTAAAAATATAGTTCTCTAGTATTAAAACTCTTGACATTAATTTTAAAATTTATATTTTTAACGAGTATCTAAGATTCACGACTTGAACTGAAAACTTAATTCTAGAGATATAAATATTATTGTCAATTTGTATAAAAAAAATATTGTTGTCAATTTATAGGGTAAATTGAACAAGCCATAAATCGTAAAGAAACTCAAAGAATTATTCAAATTATTTCAAAGATGAGAAAAATATCAAAGAAAAACATTTATATGAAGAACTATATGAAGCATTCCTTGAAGTCTTAGATGAAAAATTATCTGTAGCATCATTGGAAGTATCATCAGAAGAATATTTTGAAGTATCCAATGAGGAATCCTTAGAAGATTCATCCAAAAAAAATTCTTTGAAGTGTCATGAAAATAATCAAATGAAAAATCATTTGAAGAATCATTTGAAGAATCATCTAACACATGATCAAAAGCATTAGATGAAACATTATTAAGAGTATTAGATGAAATCTCTCTGCTTTTTTCTACTCTCATTGTTTTTGAAATCGGTTCATGGATTATTTTCTTTTTGAGTAAAAAAATTATTCTATATAAAGATGGCTTATGTTCATTTATTTTAAACCAAATTTTTTATAGAAACCTCTTTAATTTTTTTCTACTCTCTTTGTGTTTGAAATTGCTTTTTCATGAGAATTCTCGTAGTGCTAAAAGATTGAAAAGTCCTTGTGAAAGTTGTGTTGTAATTGGTGTTGTGCTTAATCAGATGTATTCTAGAGTGTTATTTAGTTATGAAAAATCTTTGTAAAGGATTTAAAGGTTACAAGATAAACGTGAAAAAATCTTAGGTGAGGGTTCTTGAGCTAAGCATGTGTAAAAATTCTGTTTGTTTGTTGTTGAAAGTTTCGTGAGTTGTTCAAAATAACTATTTTACTCTGATAAAGGAGCTTTAGCTATTGCTTGAGAATGGCATAATGACATTCTTCGTTGTTTACCGTTTTGAGTTGTTTAGTTTCTGCGTGTCTTTTTTATAGTGTAACATTGGGATGCGAATAACGTATTTTGTTTTGCCTTTTGTGAATTGTTTAATTGAATCTTTTGTTAGAACAAGATTTGGTTCTGTAATTTTATCTCTAAGTTTTGATGATAACAAAGAGTATGTTTGTATGAATAATTTTGGTATTCTAATGTTTGTTATTTTGAGTATTTAACAAATAAGTTATACTTCTGATGAAAGGCGTTGCCAAGACATTAGAAGAGAATAAGTTATGCTTCTAACTACACAAGTTCTGAAGAACAGTAGCAAAACACTTCAGATGGCTCTAAAGTAGTGATTCTAATACAAGTCCAAGAAACCAAGTTTTGAAGATCTGGAGACAGAAGTTGTAATTGAAGTCCAGATGTTGAAGACTTATGTTTCTGAAGACAAAGAGTTCTGAAAGACCAAGTGTTGAAGATTCTGAAGACACTGTTCTGGAGACTCTAAAAACATGAAGTTCTGATAACCCAAGGTTCTACAAACGGTTCTGAAGACCAAGTGCTGAAGGCTCTGAAGACTCTAAAGACTTGAAGTTCTAATGAACCAAATGTTATTTTCTTACTTCTAACTCATGCTTGTCAGAAGCTCCTGAAGTACAGAAGATTAGAAGATAACGTTAACATCTACATAGTACATGGTACAATCAAAAATTTCATTCCACTACTATGAAGGACATACGCGTTGTACGATCTTGTCCCCCACTATGTATCAAGCTGCCACCTTTCTAGAAGTTCCAGAAATACTCTTCAATGCTTATATTAGTAACTATAAAAGGGATTGCAGACTAAGAGAGAAGGCTGTTAATTCATATTCTCTAAATATTGTCCATAAAATTTCTTATTTTTCTTAGTCTATATTCTTGAAATACTATTTACATATTCGCTTGTATAGAAGCATATCTTTTGTAAACAAACTTTGTTCAAACAATTGTTTGATTTTCCTTAATGGACTTGTTGGTTATAATCCTTGAGAAGTCTAAGATTAGTGTATCTTAGAGGTTGTAATGTTAGTCACTTACAGTTAGCTTGTGTATTGTAATAATCTGTTTGATTATTGCATTAAGATGTTGTTGAGAAAAGTGAAATCACCTCGACGGGTGGACTAGACTAGCTTGATAGTTTTTAAGTGAACTAGTATAAACATAACTTTTTCTTTCCTTATTGCTTCTTATCATTATTACTAATAAGTGAAGAAAACTTGTTTGTGTTAAAAGGGATTTTTAAAGAAAAGTTTTTGATTTAAAACCCAATTCAATCCCCCCCCCCTTTCTTGTGTTTTTCATACATTCAGTTGGCATCAGAGCTCTGGTTCTGAGGAGTGATAACAAGTTTGAATTTTTATCAAGCTTCTAATAATGTTCAATACCAATCCAGACTGTGTGAAAAACTATGGAAAATAATGCATACAATGCTACTGTAACTATTGATAATAAGGATAATGATAGAGACCATTATAGCGCAAAACCTCTTATGTTTGATGGAGAAAAGTTTGACTATTAGAAGGACAGAATTAAAAGTTACTTTTTGGCATATGACCTGGATCTATGGGATTTGGTATTTGATGGCTACACTTATCCAGTAGATGATAAAGGTCTAAAGATTGCAAGAAGTACAATGACAGATGCTCAGAAGAAGGTTCACAAAAATCACTAAAAAGCGAGAACAATTCTTCTAAGTGCTATTTCTTACAATGAGTATGAGAAGATCATAGATAGAGAGACTGCAAAGTCTATTTTTTATTCTCTTCAGATGACTCATGAAGGCAATTCTCAAGTTAAGGAGACAAAGGCTCTGACCCTAATCCAAAAATATGAAGCCTTTAGAATGGAAGATGATGGATCTGTGGAAACTATGTTTTCAAAATTTCAGACTCGTGTTGTGGGACTCAAGGATCTTAATAAAGGATATTCTACTGTATATCATGTTAAGAAGATTATCAGAAGTATGCCTAAGAAATAGAGACCAATGGTAAATGCTTTTAAGCTGTCAAAGGATTTGAACAACACCCGTCTTGAGGAACTAATCAGTTCTTTAAGAAGTCATGAGATAGAGCTCGAGGAAGATGAACCTCAGAAAAAAGTTAAATTTATGGCTTTGAAGTCTAAGGTTGTAAAGACAAAGGCTTTTCAAGCTGAAGAAGAATCAGGGAGATCTGAAGAAGACTCAGATGAAGATGAACTTTCTCCGATATCCAGAAGGATAAGTCAGATATGGAAACTGTGATACGGTGGGAGAATTGACTTGGGTATTTTGTGTTTTATCATAAATGTTGCGGTTAGTAAGAGTCTCCACCGACTTTTCTTTTATCCAAAAGGAAAGACTGAAAAGAACAGGAAAGACCTTTGAGATTATTTCTTGAGTTCAGAGGGTAGATTATGAAAAGGGAAGGTGTTAGCATCCTTTTCATCCATAGTTATCTATGGGCTCTTAGTTGCTTGCTAGGTCACTTGCTTTTGTTTGAAAATGTGCTTTGTGTGGTTTTTGAAAGTATTTTGAAAAGGCACCATCATTTAGGCAAACTTTGTAATAGTTCTCATTCGTAAGAACATATACAAAATGTTGAGCTTTTGAAAATGTTTCATGTTTGGGAAATATTTTGAAAGTGTTTTAGAAAATGTTGGTGTTTGTTTTGGAAATAAGTAAGTGTTTGATTTGAAATTGAGCAAGCAACTAAAAACAATCTACCTACTCAAAGTCTTAGTTCATTTCTTCCTTTCCTTTGATGTTGCTATCTTACTATTGATTTGGTAAGATGCCTTATCTTTGGATGTAAAGGGACAGGCGTGGGTTATTGTATAGACATGATAGCAATATTGTGAAATATCTTAGCAATTCTCTTTGAGGGACTAAGATCATTTTGAAAGGCAACTTTGATAGCATCATCGAGGGACTATAATCTTGTATTTTTGATTGCT